TCTAGGCTGTTGGATACCCATTTTCAGAAGACATGAGTCCAGAAGAAAGCTCTGCCTTTTGTCTTCCTCTGCACTTCTACCAAGTCTACAGTATTCCCAAAATGTAGACATAACTAACACAGCTTAAAATAATTCATAAGGTTGCTGGACCTGGGCCATTTGCACTGGAATTCATTGCTACTTGAAGACAGTAACATTAATGTATGTGTTGAAATAAAATTACTTCCTATTATGCTTCATTAGCATGAGAAACACATTTTGCAAATTTTATATACAAGGCAGGGGAGGCACTTATATCTGTATTATATGGAACGGTACTTGCAGTTATTCAGGCCTAGAACTGGTCTCAGAATTGTGAATACCACGACTGACTGATTACTCTTCTACTGGACTATAGCTACCATTTTTTCCGAGATGTACACGCAGATCTACTATAGGGAAGAAATCCATTAACGTCCCAACCTCTGACAGTATACAAACTGAAAAGCCATTTATTGTATCTGAGCCTTGTTTACTACAAACTTTTTAACTTCATTGACTTCAGTACATCACTACAGGCTCATGCACGAGTATTATCAAAGTGAGAACAAGTCTGAGCCACTGGCATGGTCTTTTTATTTTTGGAAGCATAAACATATTTGTGATTGGCTTGTAAATTAAATTCTTTAGAATACTTTCTTTTATCCTTCTCCTGTTGCCTCCAGATAATGGCTTGTCAACATTTTGAGGTATTTAACCTGGATAAGGCTTTCTCTTCAAATTGTTCACTGAAAATATTTATGAAACTTTTTTTCTTAGTTCTTGTTTTACACTTTGTACCCATCTGCCTATATTCCACTCCATACCAATTTATTCTTTCAATCACAGTGTTATAGTTAGTTGCATACCTACCGAAATGCTTTTCAGCATTTGATACATCAAATAACACAGATAGCTGCAGCATAAAGTAAATCTGACAATTTTGATATCCATTAGTAGCTGGTGATTTTGTATTTGAATACTGTGTATTAAAAACAATACCTGTTGCTTAGAAAATTAACTGACAGAATAACCTTGGGAATAGGTACAGAAAATGGGGGGAAGGCCTCAATGCAAAAGTGACTGAGTTGACTGAAGAGCTTTTGTATAGGGCTCTAAATGCATGTCCTTATTGGACAGAGCTTTTATTTATTCCAAGATTTTTCTTTACATACAAAATACAGTTTTTCTGAATGAACCCAATGATATTTTCTTACCCTATTCAAGTTAGTAACTATTTCAGAAGTGATAAAAACTTACTGAAGGGGTGAGTTTGAGTTCAGATCTTTCTCTGTCTCCTTGTTCAAAGAACTCACTGGTTACCAGCTCAGCTGCCTAAAACATAAATCATGATAAAGATTAGAGTTCTTGCCACATAATTTTTAGGGTAATGAGTTCTTGTTGAAACCATGACTTCAGCCTTTGCTTAACTGTAAAGAAGTGAATAGCCCCACTTACATGACTGATATTGGGCACATGTTTGTATAGTTTTCAGCACTGGGCATACAGGGAGTATAAATAGCCATAACCACTGATAGGTTATCCCTTTAGGGGGTGTATATATATATATATATAGGCCATAACCACTGACAGTTATCCCTTTTTGATAGGGAATTTATTAGGGAGTTACATTGCAATGTCGAGGTAGCACTCAATGCAGTTATATGCAACTTACTCAAGTATTGAGAACAAAATAGAAAATTATAGGTTCTTGTTGGCATGCACAATTATGTTTGTAAAAATGCTTTGTAAAACGTGCAAGAGATCTCTGGGTATTTACAGGCTGTTGCCCTATATAAACAACTTCACTTGTCAAAGAAACTTAATTAACCAATAACCCCTGTTGTCTTACTTTAATGTGAAATCATAAAGGTTTTTTTCCTCACTAGTTTTTACTTTTTTCCCGTGAATGTCATCACTATAGGATCTGACTATCTACATATGAACTCAGATTGTGATTATCATATTGAATCGAAATCAAGAACTGGTGGGTTGGAAGTTGGAATACGTCTTTCTGATTTTTGTGAATGAAGATGCTCTATTCAGCAGAAGTTTGTGCTTTGGAGAAGAACACAAGATTTAAAACCAAAATTAGTTATGGAAACAACAGGAATTTTAGGAAGTCACACAGTCAGCAATCCTGATATAGTAGCCTTTATGTGCTGTACTCTTCTCATGTGTGGGCTTAGAAGGTAGGCATGTGTGACATCTGAGATGTAAAAAAAGGAAACTGATCTACTGAAGATGTCATTCAGTTCCTAAAGCTCCTGGCGTGCCTCCTTATTGTTTTCAAGCTAGGAAATTATTTCATAATGCCAAGGCACAAGAGAGTGAACTAAGGAGAGAACCTGCACTTCATAAAATAAAATTTCTTGGTCTAGCAACTGCATGGTAGCTAACATTCACAAATCCTAAGCTTGCTACAGTTGAAATAAGGAGTACCAAAATAAATTGAAAGTAGGTGAAGTGATGTTATAAAGTACTCTTAAATCTTGAGCCAGGCTATCACACAGTTTGGAACTTTATAATGTATGTAATCCCAGCGCACTAATAAAATTCTGGATCAATACTCCAGATAGAGGAATAATTTAACAACTTAGCAGCAATTAAAGGTTTGCCAAGTATATTGTATAAAAATAATCAAGACATAGTCTCACCCCTGTGTCTCACTGCTATTCTGATCCTGTTCTACTTGTGCCCCTTTCCCTCTTCTTTTGTCTGTTTCTATCCTCTCTTCCTGAATTTTGCCTTCTTACGTGTCACCTTTATTTCCTTTGATTCATATAGTTTAATCTCTTTCTTCCTCACTTTTTGTGTTTTTTTCCTTTCGGACAGTTGAGGTCCAACTATTTCCTGTTCTTCCTCTGTGGACTTATTAGTCTCTCTGCTCAACCAGGTAATGTTTCAATCAATCCCAGACTGGATTTTTCAACCTAAAGTAAACCTGTACACTAGGCTGCACGGGAATTTTCACCTGCAGACCTCAAAAGCGGTAAGGATAAAAAATCAGTTTGCCAGAGACTTCAGCACTAATTCAGCACCATAGCACAAAGACTGACAACATGGAAAACTGACCCTACCTGACACTTTGGCTGTCAAAGAAAATGGAGAAGCTAACTGGGTTAAAGAGGAAAAATGAGGAGGGATTGCACACACTGTAGCTGTGGCTACGTGGCACTGAAAAATGTTGTGACTCGTTTCCCCACTGCAGGATACGAGCAAATTCCCTGATTTCCATGAGAGGTGACCATATTCTAACAGCCTTAGAAGGACTATTATCATAGTCTGTTTATAAAGGCAAAAAAGACTCATCTGACAAAACTGCAAGCTGAGCTGAAGCCTTCACCACATAAATGCTTTTTTACTGAGTTAATGTGCGTGTAACTTTCACACTACCACAAAGGAGGGCAACTCCCTTTCAGCTTCTGTTACTTCCTCGCCCTTCTCCAAGAAATCTGGCTGCTCGTGCCTCACTAGTTCTCTGGTCTAGCTTCTCTTTTTCACCCCATGTTTTTAACCATCAGTTTGCTGTTAAGCCAGTCAAACTCCTCCCAGGTGCTTAGCCACACTCAGCTGCACTGGTATATTTCCTATTCGCTTCTTGATGCTGTACGTTCCTCCAAAACCCTACACAGTCTGCCTTCTACTGGCTCCTTCTGGACCTCAGTAAAGGACAGAGAATTATTAGCATGCATACAGGAAACATTAAGGATGGATGCTGAGTAAGGAAAGATGCCTAGAAGAGGCAATAATGGAAAATCATGAGGTAAAGGACGAGACTTTGGGGCAGGTTGCTTTCTTCCATTGTAATTGTTCGCCAATGCTGGACCCAAGTTTTATGTATATTTCTAAAGAGCCTACTCAGTAGCAGAAGCCTGAATTTTTATTTGCTTGTTTCTAAGTACAGGATGCTAAAAAGGCTCTATACTACACTTGCAGTTTTTCCATCACTGAGAAAACAGTGTCATTCCATCATTGAGAAAATGAACACGTTTCTCTTATCATATATATTGAAGATTTTATGTTAATCAAAGTTTGCAGATCATCTGCTGGTATTTTTGACTTAGGGAAGATTTGGCCACTGCCAAGGAAAACTTTGGGACAAAACAAGTAAGCGCAGCTACGTGTGGCTAACACTTTTTTTTTGTTTAATCCATGCATTTTTGATATGGATTTAAAAGGTTAATAAGAGGAGAGGTTGTAAAGCCAGATCTCTTCAAGTACCTACATGCTGCTCACCAGCATGTGTACATGGAAAGATTATGCAATAAACCATTTCTTGCAGAAACCCCCTGCTATTTTTTTATAGCATTAATACCGCTGTAAATTGATTCCAGTTTTGGTCCCTTGTAAGCCAGGGCCCTGGGAATATTGTCCCGCCAGTCCCGCCTCCTCCCAGCCCTGCTATTAATCATGACTTGCCTGTCTTGAAATCTCCCACGGTTTGGTCACAGCTCCAAGGTCACAGGCTGTCATTAGCATTGATCTGAAAAACAGAAATGAACAATACAAGCTGAATCAACCTTTGTTGGATTTCTAAACAACTCTGCTCTGGATGCATAAATAAATAATACATATATAAAATGTCAGCCCTGGCACCTTTTCCTCCAGAAAAGAATGACATGTTTGAAATCTCAGCCATCAGCATGGCTTTTACATCACAATTGTGCCTAAGAAGCCTAATGTGTTGCAGGTCATCACACGATGAATTTTGGCATTGTGCATTGTACACTAGAAAAGAAATGATATTGCAAGGGAGTAACTGCTAATTTTGCAATACTTCTAACACTACTTACATTAATACCTATAATATCTCAGAAAGCATGTGCTTCACATGATATAAGTAAGGGTATTATTACATAATAACACCTGCAAACTGGATTAATTTATATGCCTATTTGTAAGTGACTGCTGTAGCAAGAGAACCTGTAATCACAGGAGGCATCCCAGACACTGTTTAAGCAGTTTCTACTGCTCATCTACAATAAAAATTTAAGATTTATTATGAGCTATACTGTTCCACTGTAAGTTTAATACCTAGCTACAACCATGTTTTATATGCATTAGGAGAAAGAAAGCGTTCAGCTGTAGAAAGCGTTTATGTACAGTACATGATGCAGATAAAAGTCTAAGAAAGTTTAAATGAAGAACAAGGGCACTGAAAATGAAGAATCAAATATATTGCCTGAATCTAAAATTAGGAATGGGTGAAATGACATGGAAAATAGAAAATGGTCAATATTTTGGTCAAAAGACCAAAAGGAAACAGAATTTTAATGAAATTTCAGATAAAATGAGACATAATCAGGCATGCATATGCAAATGCACACATTTTATTGTCTCAAAAGCATGGTGTACTCAAATCGCCCACAATGTCTGAGGTTTTCAATAGGATGCAAGCTCAGATCATTCGTGAGGGCTAGAAGAGTACCGTGTGTCTGCAGATTCCCAGGTACAGACTAGAAAAGCAGAGAAGCATGGCCAGTGAAAGAAATCAGCTGCGAGGAGGAGGGAATGGGGAAACAGACAAGAAAGATCTTTGTGTCCTGAGGCAGAATAGCGCTGCTTTCTGGGGAAAGAGCAGCAGGGCTGAGCAGTAACTGGTGAGGCTGGGAGAAAGGCAAGAAAACATGACAGACTGTGAAGGCAGAAATAGGAATGGAGAAGGTGAGGTCACACTGATTACATCCCTGCTATTTGGTAATGTTTAGAAATCATACCATAATATTTCATATCATGGATCCTATTTTTAAAACGTTACCTTCTTTTGTTACTCTAAGTCTTCACTTCATGATACATGAAATTCCTTAAACAAATATGGCTACACTTTGAAATAAACAGAAAGCAAGAAATAGTAGCGCTCACCGAAATATTTCTCGGTGGTTTTTTATATTCCAATCATAACCACCTTTACTGACAAGTTCAAAAAACTCGGTCCTTCTCCTGCAACAAAACAGATTATCAGAGAAGGAAGCAAGACACTTCCAGGGCAGCACTGCAGTAGAAACACAGTTCTCTGGATGATACGAAATCATTGCACCTCATGTATTATTGTTAAAGTCGTTACACTGACAGTCCATTTAAGTGAAACATACTAATTTCCAAACATGTTCTATAAATGTCTGTCATCAATGTCAGAGTTGCCTTGTAAAAGCAATATTGTATTTATGGTCTCTGCAGATAAGGAAATAAATGGTACCAAAATGTTCAGTCTTCCATGGAAGCATGAAACGTTCAACTGCAGCAGTGGACAGACAGACAATAGAAACACCCCTGAAATATATACGCACACTTCTCTTTACTTGTCCTTGCAAAATGATTTTTATTTCTGGATCCTGAAGGGTTTTTCAGAGACATGCAATTTCTGTTATTTCCAGCACACAGAACAGAACAGTGAGACACAGGAGCTGCAGATGTCTCGAGTTAGTAGTTCTTCTAGAAGCTAGGTCTCCCTGCTTGGTCCCATGCTTTGTATTCTGGAATATCTTGCCTATGTCCTCAAAGATTGACAACACATGAGCCAGAACATGTTAATGCTTGTTCGGTGCCTTTAAGTACCAAAATTCTGACTCATCGTAGTCTGTAATTTTTTATGGCACAGAGACTCCAAGCGGCTCTTACTGCACACAGTGCGACTACAATATGAAACAGATCCTGGAAGCTGAGGTACAAAAAGATGGAGCAACTTGCCCAGAGTGACACAACATATTAGCATCAAAGCTGGAAAGCAAATACCTAAGTTCTGAGTGACAGTCCAGTGCCCCATCTCATAGGAGACTATCTCTTTGTGAAGTAGAAATGTAGTTAGATTCCCCAATAGGAGAGAGTTTGCAAAGTCTTATATTTTCTACGTTTACTTCAGCTAGACTGAAATTTTGAACAGTCAGTATTGAGAAAACAGTCTGACAACAGCCAGTACAGGTTTTAGACACGAAGAGATGCACACTTCCAGGAACACTGCCCTTGACAAATGGACAGAGTTTTATGTGGGGCATGTTGCATTTTTCTGGTCCCTGACTGTCATGTGTTATATGACCAGTCACTCCTTCTATAGGGCCTTTCTATAATAGATTTCACGACAGCAACTAAAACAGGGAGATATAAGGACTATGTCATAATATCTCATCCCTTATGTTTTGTGAAATAAGATATAAAAGAGTTTCACATTGCAAAATTTGCTGGGACAATGCAAAGTCACACATGCAGAAAACAAAATTCAGTTCTCTCACACAAAGTCATAGCATCATGGCCCCAGTGGAAATAAATATTGCAAGGATGAAAATTTTAATGGCCAAGAGTAGCTGGCACATATACCTTAAACCAGCCTAATCCTGAGCGTGAGGATTTTTGCACCCTGTATTTCAGTGCCCAGTCTAACAATGTCAAATTTGGTAATGATTTCATTTTGAAGTATTGGATATTCTGGGCAATTCATATGTTACTGGACAAAAAACAGGCAAGAATGTTTAAAGCTGAAAGCTCAAGAAGATGACATCCCAGAAACCCCAAACATTCACATTTAAAATATAGAGATCCATAAACAGTAACTGAAAATGTGAGTGTGAGGGCCTTATGTTAAGCTGAAAACTTTAAAATAAGAATTTTCATTGAAATCCATTTAAATGGATGCAGAAGTAGTAGCCCAACTCCACAAAGAATTTCTAGTGTAGGAAAGAGTCAACCTGAGGAAAGCAGCCACATATAAGGAAACAATTTAGTGTTTCCTACTGGTTGCTTATGCATGGTATCCAAAATGAAGAGGTTTGCTATTATTAAGCAAACGTAATATGCCAGGATTTCAGAAATAAACAAAATGATAGCAATTCTGCAATGTCTTTGAGTAACATTGACTCTGGTTGTATTTTGCCTGGAAGGGAAAGTTGTCTTGCAAATCCAGTTGCTCTACAGGCCAGTGGCTCAAGACATCATTTGAGTGAATTTCCATAAACTTCATTTTGGTTCCATGCTTTTGCTTCTTGTATTTTCTACAAGCATCATTATTTAGAATTATCTTTAAAATCAAGCATATTTTCCATCTGATCTTTCATTGAAAGTCATCTTTATGTTTGTAGAAAAGTAGTGCCTTGAGAAGGTCATAAAGCCTTGCTCTGCCTGGAGTTTTGTTGCTGTTTTGCTAGCTGGACTTCGTGATCATTAGGTTTAGGCATTCTAAGAATACTGATATGAGAATTTCCTTCTCTACAAAAATATTGAACATGTAGCAAATGGAAAAAACAAGGTAGGTACTTGTGCGGAAACATCTGTTCACATAGGGTGGCTTTAAGAAGTGTAAATCATCAACGTTTCCAGGGAGTGATTTTCAGGCACTTTTGGTAGTAAAGTAGCGTAACAACTACCTGATTAATGGATCATAATAACACAAGAGAAAATGATAACTTATTTGCAGACTTCTGAGTAAAGAGGCCTCATTTACTAAAAGTTTTCTGATTCATGTAGCACATAAAAATCAATTATGCAAGCAAGGAAGAATAATCTTGAAATTCAGCTGTTGTCCCTTTTTGGACATTATTTCTCTGTATTAAAACTAGAAAGACAACTTGTCCATGTAGTTTTCAACCTAAGGCAGGCAGGGAAGAGAGCTCCATCACATCTGGGTCTGGACTGCATTCCCTCCCAAGGCACTGCTGCGGGCCCTCTCCAGGGCAGAGGCTCTGGCTCTCCCAGGGGCTGCAGCAGGATCCCGGCCAGGGCAGCTGCCCTCAGCCCCTGCCACTCATCTCTTCCTCGACAACACAAAACATTTCTGCAGCACTTGTTATTCGTGGTGAGACGGGACAACCCGTACTGACACATCCCTGTGGTCCTTGTGTCTCACTTAAAGCTGTCAGCAAATTCCCCTGTCATACCAGCCCCCCAGATAACAAGCGATCCTAATAGACAGCTTCAAAAAGAGTATGCTTAAAAGGGTTTATTTGTCCTGCTCAGGATTTTCATGTTGGCAAGCAGAAATTTCTTCATGGACTAATGTTTAGAAGTTATTTCTAATAAAACTATTAATTAAAACCCTTTCTTAATACAACTTCTCTGAGAACAGACTTGCAGGAAACAAAAGAATATCAGGGTGTCTACTGCCAGTACTGTTTAGAAATAGCCCTTGGCACAGTAGCCAAATACTGAGAAAAAAAGACAAAGCAAACTTTGCAGCATCCCAGCTAGTATTTTTGCAATTAACGGTTAAAGATACAATGTTGATATAGATAGTTGAACAATTTCAGGGCAAAGTCTTTGCCTGAAGTTTTCTGGAAACTTGGTTTGGTATCAACCATCAGCACAAAGAAGCAGGGGAATCCAGGTATACCCCCCTAAAAGTTGAGAAAAACATTACTAAATGCTACCCAGCACTCTTTGGGATAGGATGCTAATGGACATCAAACAAACATTCCTAAGGATGAATTATTGTCATGACTGGGAAGGTAGTATGCTGAAACTGCACATCTGACAGCACTTCGCCCTGTCAGTCAGCCACATGCGTGTGCCAGAGAGGGGGATGTCAAAAGTGCAATGTGACGGTGACACCATGACTCCCCCAACTACACGCGTGCTCCCCCACATTCTTACTGGGAAGACCTTGGTGATAATTAACAGTGTTTGAAAAACATCAGATAGCACCAACTTGAAGTCTACTTAGAGATTTGATTTGCAAACAACGAAAAGGAAAAAAACTGGATGAGAGAGATCCTCTTACACTTCTCTCGAGTTAAGCTTTTTAAGACCTGTTCTCATGTGATGCAAATTGGCATAATTTGTCTTCAAAGTAGCAATGTGTATGCTTTCATTACCTCTGCAACTGGGTTTGTAACTACATATAATATTCCTTAGCATACACGTTTAGAAATTCTGAAATGGTGGAAAAGAATTCTAAAATTGATTTTCTACGTGCCTGAAGAACTGATCACAGAAGGGACAGAAGAATTACGGGACTGAGCTGTAACTGATTCCTGGGATTGCTTTGAAGTATAAGCCTGGGATTTCACTTGCTTTTTGTTGATACAGACATGTTACACATTAAAGCAAAACTTACTTGGACACTTGAGATATTTTTATTAGCCTAAGATATACTAAGTATTAGACTAAATCTCTTCAACCACAGCTAAACACTAATTTCTCATATTATATATCCTTATTGGTATTTAATAGGTCATTAGAGTAAGTTCTTCGAATTTTCATTTGTCAAATACAAGGAATGCCAATACTTACTCAAAATACAGAGTGAGGTCTGTTGCCAATATCGATTGCTTTAGAAGCTGCATAAGGTCACTGTAGTCCTTAGAGGACAAGTTAGCAAAGATGTTGTGACCCTATAATGAAAGAGATAAAAGAGGTAAAGGGCTAGCAATCAATATAGGTTTTTAAAAGGTTTTCTAACTCTTTAGTCTACTGTTTCCCTGTAACAGAGGCCCGTTCTGATTCATGGCAAAACTATGACAAAATAATAATGTTAATACTGCTGAGATTACATTGGGGTGGAAGAGTTGACGATTGTAATCAAGCACCTGGGATGTTTTTCTAAACTCTGCTGAAATTATAACCTCTTGAGAAAAGATTTACTCTTTGCTCTGACCCTGCACAGACTCAGTTTATGGGGAAAAACTATGCATACATCTCAATCTTTCCTCTTATTAAACGTTTTGGGGAGCTGTGTATTGCAGCTTTTGAGTTGTGCTTGTAATAGATTTATCTGTGCTGCTGCTTGCAGGCACACAAACTGCTGTTAGAGCAGTCAAAGACACTAAATCAGTTTTTCATTCAAAACAGCCCATTTGCTCACTCTGCCCATTACTGCGTTGTCTTACAGCGTAGAGAAGCATTGCCTATGCAGGCTAAAGAACTGCAACTTTATGCAGTTTAAATACCCTTTGTAGGCCCAATAAGCTACTTTTTAAGGGATCGTGGATTAAGAATTTGAAAGGTACTCCATGGCCAGAATGGAAGGAAACAAATTATTTAATATTGCTATTTGAGAGCAGGAAGGTCCTTTTGCAACTGAATTTCTGAAAACTAAGAGGGACAGAGATCCTATCATTTCTCTATGAAATCCTAGAGAAAATAAGCTGAAAGAAACATAATTAATGAAAAATTCTAAATGTAAGCTTAAGAAGTAGTCTTTGTGACATTAGTAATATATAACTAAATTAACATAAATAAAAGTACTAAAGTTCTTTTTTTTCCTAATCACCTATAGAAATAATGAGGTTCTTGCTAAAGAGAGTCTTATTTTGGTGGTATTTAGCACTGTAATGCACACATTCAGTATGCACTGCCATCTACTGCTTAGGAAGATTAAAATGCCCTTAAAAACAAGAATTCTCCACCAACAGGATTACTATAACCATGATGGTCTGAGGACATAGACAAGATAAGGATGTAGAGATAGTATTTTTTAACAGATCAGCTAATCGTTGGACTAAAAAAATAACTTACCGTGCATAAAAGATGGTCTTCTCTGTGACAATGAAATGCTTATTTCTTTTCAGCTAAATATTGAGAAGGATTCGAGAATCTAAAGCTTATTTATGAAAAACAATTTTGAAACTAAAGTACTCGGAAAGAAATAAAGCAAAATATATCAGGAAAATAGCAGCTCTTACAACAGGGGTAATTTACCAAGTTGTCTGTTATTCTATAATATCCGTTGCCTTTCTGACCCGTTTCATGGTGTATAAAACCACATCACTACAAAGCTCAAGATCACTTATACTAAGGTTAGCATGTCAAGAGTAAAGGATAAATAGCTCCTTTGTACAACATGATAAAAATTTAAAGAAATAATATGATATACTATGTTTCCTTCTAGATAGCAAAGACAGACTAGAATATCAACATTAGTGGATAGGATATAATCTAATTTCAGCTTATTTTAGAGAAGAGACCAACTGCTCAACTGGTGAAAGTTGGTGTATCTTTAAGTAGACTGAAGGATCCAAATCTGCATTTATTCCAAACTAAGGGGCGTTGTGTTCCATTAGCAAATAGTATTTATTGGATAAAAATCCTGTAGGATTAATTTTCTGGTCTAGAAATGAGGACTTGGAGAAGCAGCTGCCTGAATGATCAAAGGGGAGGACTTGCATTTTAAGTAATATTTTACATCTCTGAAAGAAGCTGGAGTAGATTCCAAGGAAAAAAGTATTTTTTTCATAAATTTCTTGATTTTTAAGCTGGAAAAGATAAAGGCAGGCATCTAGACTGACACGAGCTATAAACTTTCACAGAGTTGTCCATGTCTTGAGCCTGTCTTCAGAGGGTCATTCAGTCATGATGAAGATTTCAGGAACTAGAGAAATGATTATTTCCCAGGAGAGCTTGTTGCAGGGGCTGAACAGTCCCATTGGTTTAGGGAGAAAAACAAAGAACAAAAACCCCTTCCTTTTTTCCTATTCTGAGCCAGTCTGTTTAACTTTCAAATGCTGTTTTTTCTTATGCCTTTCCCTGGTAGTCTAAGGAGCCATTCAATTCCTAGTAACACCTTTTAGCTAAGCTAGACTAAGCTAAACAGATTGAGCTGCTTAAGTCTCATGCTGGTGCTCTCCTTTCTTATATCTACTTTTTAAATTTAATGTCAAGAAACTGAACACTAAAGCCACAGTCCCATGACTAATCTCTGTGGCGCTGTACACAGAGGTAAAGCCATCACCCTGTTCCCATTTGTCTGTGATCACGGGACATTCCCAGATGCTCTTCAACAGTTACTGCAGATCAGCATATAGTCTCCAATTGTGCCGCAAGAAAAACATTTTTGTTTTTATATATACTGAATGCATTTTGTAACAATCTATCTGTGTAAATTAACAAAATACATCCATTGTTTTGTAAGGATTGCGTGTCCACCCTTCCACTTTTCTCACTTACTGCATCTCTGGGGTAGTGCATGCTGCATACTGTCGTGCGTAAGATATTCTAGGCAAAAATTATGTCTTTATATGTATTTGCAAAGCAGCTAGTGTAGTTTGGACAGCATGATATTACTGATACTAACTTTAAAAAAAAATATAGTAAAATTATGCAGAACTATCATAAAAATACTGATTATAGAAAGACTGTCAAAAGAAATTAAATTGGTCCAGTAAAGGATGACTGTGGTATTCTGAATACAACACCTGTGGGGAAAGGTAAGAGCTTGTTTCACCTACCTATAAACCACCGAGAAGGATATATGTAAGAAGACTGAGAAAAGCTGACAATATGATTAGGATATGTTCTCTTTGCCCCTAGCTGATTGAGTCAAATATAATCTCTGGGCTCTATGATCAGCATTTGTAGTTGTTTAATTTTGTGCTAGTTGTGACCTTTGTGGTAACCAATAAATAATTCCTCAAGGAGAGGGCATTGAAAAGGTACTGTGTGTGGTATTGCCTTTCTCTGGCTGAAACTGCCCAACAGCTTACAGTGAGATTAATAGTAATGTTTTTGTACCTCACTTTGGAGAATCATGACAGCATGATTGAAATGGTGGTGCTCCAAGGTAGCAGAGGTGCCGTAGAGCTGAGCTAAGGCTGATCCGCTCCTGAAACAGAACACGGGTAGTCAACAAATACTGCTCGTCTGCTTACGAAGCAAGTTTCAGAGACAATTTAGTAAGGAAAGCATGTAGCCACACTCTCCATTTCAGCAACCACACTTGAGACAGTTGACAAGATCAAAATACTAATTTAAAGCCAGATACAAGTCATTTATGTTCCAGACCTTGCTAAACATAATCAGCTGACTAAAGACTTTCCTGGAACTACATGAAATTTTGTAACGCAACTTTCAAAGTGCCTCAGCGATGCAACAGCACGGGTGCACCACTGTGCAGTAAAGACAAACGGTAACATCCTTGAGCTAGGGTGGGCTGTTCTGCTACCACTTTTTATTTTTAATTCTTAATAGCTATAACCAGAATGGCTTACAATAGGCAACTACAAACTCTTCAAAAAAAACCCCAAAACACAACAACAAAAAAACAACTGCAAATGCAGTGAGGTTCTGTCTGTATGTAAAACTATGCACTTAAAAAAATACTAAGGTAAACAAAAAACCCACAAGTGAGAGCAGTGAATATAAAAGTAAAGTTTAGCATCTCTTTAGAATGTATTTTCTCATCACGTTTCTTGTCTAAAACAAAATTATCTTCAAAATGCACAGGGAAGGTGGGGTTTCTAAGTTTAAAGAACAGAAATCTACAGAACACAATTATAAAATTGTGAACTGTTGGGAGGTGCAGAGAACAGGACTGGATTGTCAGGATAGTTACTGTTCACCATTACTTCACTTCTGGGAGCCAGCCTAAAGCGACAAGATGGGTTTTCTTTCCAAAGAAATGAGAATAAGAGATTATGCTAGAGACAAACAGAAAGAGTCTCCTAGGAGCATATACTATAAAATTGCACCATACTGATATTTAATTATCAGAAGCAGCTATGTTAGAGAGAAGGATGTCCAGGAAACATCATCCCTAGAGAACGTAGTGTTGACATATATAATGGAGCCATTTCAGACAACTGTGATATTGTCTCCATCATATACCTCTTGAACTTTCATTACACAGAACAGCAGCATTGAGCACTGAAGATAAAATAGGAAAATGCGATGCTTAAATTTATAAGTCAGGTTAGAGGAATAAATCATAGCTGCTGTTATGAAAACTACAGCTGTTTTCAGGGGTGTTTTATACACGTGTGGTAATGTTTGTCTTTTGTTGAATGTCTTCAGCAATTTCTTTATGGAGTCATAAAATGGTAGCCTCTTCTTTGTACTCTGTTGTCAAACAACAAGCATAAGCGATAGCAGTCTAATGCTGAAACCTCTACCTTTAACTCAGCCATCCCTCTGCGCAAGAAATATTGCTGTGGAATGTTACAGTGGAGAAGTGGTTAACTTAATCAGAGCCTAAAACGGTCAGGATGTAAATCTTACGTCTCATTTTTGTAAATTAGGAACATAAACATCAATCAGCTGAGATTCCTTCCCATTTGTCTCGTCTTTTTTGATTCTCTTCAAGATTCAGCTGCAAAAAGGCATCTAGCAGTGCTTGGTAACCTTTGCACCGTGAGCTCTGTCTTTTGAGCACTGCAATTGATTTTCCTTGCTATGGTGACTGAAGATCCAGACAGTGTCGTTGTTTCATTGAGACTGTACAGCAACACCAATAGCTCAGGAAATGGCAGCTTCGCGAATATCAGAAACATCAGTTTGAGTGATGTTCACTGAGGCAACTCGCCCCCAGAAATGCAGCAGCCCGTGCATACACAGATTGCAGCAGAGTATTTTTGCAAAAGGTAAGACAAAATAGGCTAATACAACATCACCCTGTCTTTCAAATATCTTTGGACAACCATCTGACCACTTCCCCGTCACGCTGGAGGATTAGCAGTAATGCAGAACAAAGTTGCCAACGCATGTGGGGATCTGCAGGACAAGAGAGACTCAAGGTCTCATATTCTGACTGTAGAGGACCCGGGAAGTTGAGAAAACAACATGGGATTTGGAGGAGTCTCTGTGTCTGACAGCTTTATTTCACAGCTTGGCCAGGATATTGTCAGGGGACGGTTCCTGTTGTCCCCCCCGTTGTCAAGGAACACAGATTTTGGAAACAATTTGACCTTGGTCAGGGGAGTTCCCTTACCACCACAGTAAGAAGAAGTACCGTCAAAACTTCCACAAACCTGCTTCTACCTCACTAATGTGTCTGAGGGCAGCAGCCTGGACAGTAAAAATATGCAAATCAGGGCTGCTGAATCAAGTTCTAAGCACTTTGGATAGAATAAAATTCATTTTTAGAATTGAAAATAGTCTGCAGAGCAAGATTTCACACAGGCGATGTAAGAATCTGCCTTCAAGATCCAGCTTCATGTTCTGATGGGTACTGACCATATCAGGGGCTGGCCAGCCCACGCCTGCCCACCGCAGCATGCCTCTGAACAGGCTCTGTGGGCTTTGGCCTGTGGGGTAGGCCAGGGAGGAACCATTTCTACTGACCAGGGACCCTGCGTGCTCCACAGCTGACAGGTATGTGGAGAGGCAGCTACTCCAGCCACCTGCTGCAGACAAGATGCATCTGAGCTCCAGCATGATGGCAACGGTTTCATACTTCATAAGCTAGGAATTACTTTATGTATACTTGCTGATACGTTTGTGAAAGTTTTTGTGAAAGCATGATTTCAGTTTTACCTATTTTCTTTTCTTCTTAATAGTTGAACAAGGTTTTGCTTAACATCATGCATTCCAGCCAGCAAGAACAACCCGGATAGACAGTTTCAGTGTTTCCTGGGTTGAATACCAGAATCAATAATAGCTCAGCCTGAAAAGAACATCGAGTTTTGGCACCACATTTCAATATGCGGTGTCAGTTCACAAGGGGTAACCCGATCACCAGCCCGATACAAAGGACAAGCCAGCAATTACCCAAAAGAACAGAGAACGATAAAGATGGATTGTCCCTCACTACACACAAGAATAAGAATACTTGGCCTTGGCCTAGGAGGCCTGAAATTAATGGTTCATTCTTTATCCTGCTCACCTTTTGCTCTTCTGTGGAAGAAAAACAAATTAAAGTAATAAGAATTAGAAAACTTACTTGGCTTGGAAGGCATTGTTGGTTCCCCTGTGGTCAAGGTCATGACATAAGCATCCCACAATCAAAGCTAAAATTTCAATTTCAGTCAGAATCTCCTGAAATCCTGCAGTCTGAGAGCAGAAAAAAAATAGCAGCTGTAACTATCAGTAGCAGAAGGGATAAGTAATGTTAGTCCATCGAGCAACAGTCAACTTTGTTTTGATACCATGAATGTTTCAGTAAGGAGAAGATAAATGCTTTATTGTCATATTATATTCCCTGCTGTATGTTAGATGGTTAGCAGAACAGATAACGTCCTTGGAGTGATCTGTTATTATCTCTCTGTTGCATTTCCAGCATGCCATTTCTCCACTACCCAGAAGGCACTAAAGGCAAAAAGAGCTGAAAACAAACACCAATAACTACACACTAAGACAGAAACTGGAATTTCATATCGGAGAAATACACAACAAAATTAATTCCATTTTGAAATTATTGTTCAGAGAAGTACTTAGACAGATTTCTTCAATCCTGAGGTGACCATCTTAGTCAATCCCTACTGTCAGAGATAGCTGAGATGTTAAATCAAAAGACCTATAAAAGAAGCCAGCTAAAATATACTCTATGGAAGTGTTACGAACTATTAAGAGATTTGTTATCTAGGACACATGAAATGAAGCGGCATGATTTAAACAGGAAAAGTCTCAAATGGCATATTTCTGCTGCAGATACTCACTTGAATTTAGGAGAGATTTTTGAAAACTGACGTATTGAAATTCCCCATAAGCAGCTCAGACCAGATAAATCCATGTGAATGGGGGAGCTGATCCTAGAAACATTTCTTTGCCACTGTACTTCTCCTCGTGGATGCTTACCATAGCAGTTTTCCTGCCTGGATTGCCTCATGTCAGAAAAGAAATACTGCTGTTACTGCTAACCTCAAGCATCCTGCACAGATCCTGTCTGGAGAAGGTGCTGGAGCCTGCGTGGGACACCACCTCTCTGGTGCCGTGCATCTTACCCACGGCAGAAACAACCCGGTTCTTCAACTCTTCAGAAGCATAAGGGCATATTGCCTGCAAAAAATGACTGGCTGAGCTGGAAAACCATAACACTTGTGTTTCCACAGTGCCAGTCTCCAATGACACTCCTCAATTAGCCACACAATCTAATTAGTATGAAAGGAAATTATATAAAAGGAATATAAAATACATTTATATTGGAGGACCAAACCAAGGCTGAACACTAACAGTGTGTAGGAAATCCTGGATTCCATTGATTTTCAATGGGGCATAATTTCACCCACTGGCATGAGGAGGGTTAAGCGATACAAAGACAGTGACCATGAGTGGGATTTGATGTCCTTACCTGGTAGGAACTTACAACCCACTCAGAAATGCCAGTGAATTGCTGCAATACCATGTGAAAACTCTGCCATTCACCCTGAAGACCACAAATTCTACTTAAATAAATGCACATTCAAATCCAAATGGTCTCTGTTTTCATAGGCTGAAATGTGGCCGCAGTTAATATTTAGGCAGGACAGGGAGGCCAAGCTCCCCCAGGTGCTCAGGAATGCATTTCCGTGGGGACTGAGGGAGTGCAGGACTTGCTACAAAAGCTTTATAATTGTGCTCAAAGTTTACATATCAGAAAAGATGATCAAATATGAGGAATAGATTCCTTTTGTGTAGAATCCGCTGGCATACAGAGTAACTCAAATATTATGAAAGATTCTCCTGATTTCTAGTAGCATAGCTTTTTTTAGTTTCAGTAACAGCTACCCAGGAAGAGGAAATTATCTAGAAAATAGTGTTTTCTCTTTTTATTTTTTAAACATGGCTCTTACATAACAAATAATAATCGTAGTCTATTTTTTAAAAAGAGATTAAAAAACAGGTTTGTAACTGACACCATGCCACGTGTCAAGTTTCAATCTAGAGAAAACATTCATGGCTAAGTTAAAACAACTTAAAATAGAAGTTTTATAATATAAAATTGATGCTGTAAGAAATATTCTTTAGCATAACACAAGCTTTGATTAAACTCAAGGATTCAACCTGTATTGCAAATGCAGGACAGACAATTAAGGAATTTATTAACAGTAACAATATCCCAAAAATAAACGCAACATTTTATTTAATCAGAAGTCTTGTCATCAAATGTATGACAGAAATATAGCATATTTCACTTAATAAAAAAACATTTAATTTAAAACAATGTTACAGTAAGGGGATATCTGCTTTGAACATAATGCAAAAAAATAGAGCATTACATTTCCCCATTTTTTTAATTTACACAGAGAGAAAAAAAATACATGGCTATAGACGACGGTGCAGTAAAATTTATTTTCACCAGAAAAGGAATGACCCATAACTCATGAGTGGCAGCGTCTCCAGTGAGTTATGGAGGTCATTCTTTCATGTGAGGAAATGAATTGCATTTATTATTCCTTGCCCCACATTTATATGGTTTGTTATTAGCACACCAGGTGAGATTTTAATTTTGTATTGCTTCCTTGTTCATTTTTACTTTTTGAAATAAGTATCAATGTGAACTGTGTTAGGCAAAGGCATTGATAATGAAGCCTGGGCTTGATCCTGCGGTTTATGCTCATGTGACGTCCTTAACTTGTAGGAGCAGTCTTGCTTCAGTGCTTGTCTTCAGAATATTTGGGCGAGTCTGAAATGCCGAAGTATAGCTTGCAGGACTGGGCTTATAATTGTTCAGTGTCTAACCGGAGAGAGAAAATACATACTTAGATATACAAGAACGTACCTTAGATATGCAGAAGGCTGACCCAGGAGTGAAACAACTGGTTTAAGCTTTGTTGGTTTTCTGTTGTTTGGCTTGTTCAACTCAGCTGAATTTTCCTTCTGCGTTCAGTGGGAGCATGGTTGGGCCATTACAGGTTACTGCGTTACAGACTAGACATTACTATGCTATGGCAAGTCCTACCTGAAAATACCCTAAAAGAGACCTATTGATTTATATTTGTGGTGCAGTCAATATTGCTGTCATGGAGAAATCAGGACTAAGGTGCAACAACTGCACAAAGCAGTGCCTTCTTAACCGTCAGAGCCCCTCTCTGATGGTGAAAGAATTTTCCCCTTTTTGCAGGTGAAAAAACAAGGCACATACTAACTCGGATGGTTCCCCCAAGACAAATGCAGTAAGAGCAAGGCTTGTGCTGTTACTAGTTTCTTAACTCTCTTTTTTGTGTCTTTTTTCACAAGATCAGTCTTTCTGTCTCTGGAAGGGAGAGGAGCCCAAGCGGATCATACACCTGAACTTACTCTGTTCTCAGCCAGAGCCACAGGGAAGCGGGGTGGGATGCGTGGTGAGTCCAATGCTGTGGGCACAAGCATCCAGCCCTGCATGTGGAATTGCTCATTCGGTTTATTACCGGGAGTGCGGCGATCAGATGAGCTTGGCTTGAAAATCCTTGTTGCATCCGTGTGCTGACTACTAAAAGGATCTTGAAATTACGGTTTGAGAATCACCGTCACAGCAGTTTATGGTTGCGGCCTCGCAGGCTTGCTGGTGGCTGTTGAAGCAGGAGGGATCGGCTTTCTCCCGGCTGGCTGCCGATGGAGTCACCGCCGGCGGGACGGACGGAGATGCCCGGTGGGAGGGCGCGTTTCCCACCGAGAGGAGAGCCCGCCGAAAGCCCGGCCTCGGCGCGCCACCTAGAGGTCCGCACCGGTGCGGGCTGGGGGCGCCGCACCCCCGCAGCGTTCGGCAGAAATTAATGTCATTCCCAGCTGAACGGCGCCGCCTGACTTTGCCCTTACTGCTCGGAGTAAAAAGCTTTTCATTTTTCTATAACTTTAAAAAAAAAAAAAAAGCATGTCACGTTTACAAAACCTTAAAAACGACCGATGTCCATGCCTTACCATGAGATTTCATTAGCGATCATCAGAAAGCGCCTGCTGAAACGCCGTTAATTCTGCTCGGCTGAACAGCCTCACGCCCAGAAGAAGAGGTGACCTTTCTCTCTTGTTGAACGTCTCCGTTTCCTTTGTCTCACAGCGTACAGTGCAACTTCGCTACGCCTCCGTAAACGCTCACAGAAACAAACCCACGTAGCTGGGACAGACCTAGCATTATACCAACATCTACCTGCTAGGGGACGTCATACCCTGTTTTTTCTCGCCCGACACGTGCAGTTGTGCCACAGAGACAACGTCAAACGAAGTAGGACAGCTGGGAACCCAGGCGCAAGACAGCTGTGCCCTGTGAGCAGGTAACAGGCCACGGACTGTCCCAAGTCCCTGTTAACACAGCGCTGACCTGTGCTGCGAACGGCACAGGCTGCAGAGCCTCCACCTCTACGGACAGGGTCCGGATGCTAACCACGCCGCAGAGACCGGCCAGCAACGAGAACATAAACGTTCAGGGATTAAAAATTAGGGAATAAGCACACGATAACCCAGATAAATACAGACTTGCAAAAACGCTACTAATACGACTACTTTAAGGTTCGCAATGGATGACTCCGGCCATTAAAACTGAACATGAAAAAATGGAAAAACTTGAACTCTTATTTTTATCTGGAGATAAGGCAAACCCAAAATGTAAAGTACAGCAGAAAGTGTTGTGTGCACACAGACACGTTGCTTCTCTTTTGCCATATTAACCAGAATATTAAACATCCAGGACCACAAAGCTTTTTGTTGATACATTTACAAGAATTAACTAGCCAAACATGGATTATTCCATGCAGTGAGGTTGCTGTAGGGTAGGGAGAGAAAGCAAGTAAGAGCAGTGGTACTTTCAACAGAATTTACTTGTATGCCGAGTTACAGGTACTGATGGAGATACATGTTAATAGAGCCCAGAAGTGTTGCAGTGTCCAATGTAGACACAAGATTCACTTAGATCACTATGTTGGAAGATAATTTTAAAATGCTTTAAGGCAATATCTTCTACAACTATTTAGATGAAGCTGGATAAGAAGGTAATAAACATCAACATAATAAATACTTCTTCTGGGATTCTAATCTTCCTTGGTTTTGTACCTCCCAATTTAAGAGTTTGAAATAAACGTCAAATCAAAGAGTTCCAAAAGAAAAACATCTCTCTAAGATCAAGATCTATAATAACAAGCTCACTCCAAGACAGCCATCTGTTTTCAGTCACTTTTATGTGCCTGCGATATCACTGTCACTAAAACACTATAAGGTTTTGCCAAATATGTGCCGCCTTAAGTTGAATAACCTAATTCTGTGTGCATTGCCATTGGAAATGAACAAGTATCATCATAACTAGAAAAGAAATCAAACGTTGGAAAATGTTTAGACAGGTAAGGCAATGGGGCAATAAAAGCTCTTACAGGATTGTGTCTGTAGCTGGATACTTACAGTTAACATGGCAAACATTAGCTGGCAGACGTTGAAAGCATGCCTCCAGTTGTGATACAAAACCATTCGATAATTCTTCCTAACTGTCAAAAGCCACCTACACAGCGTCTGAAAAGTACAAATTGTATCAGTGCTACTAAAAGTGTACAAATGGACAGAGCAGTGCCAAGACAAAAGCAGCAGATATCTCTGCAGCGCAGATGGTTACCTCGTAGTCAATTTTAAATTTCTGAACCATTCCAAGTTCCATGAACATCCGCAGGGCTGCAGTAATCATGGCATCCACATCAAGTGAGAAGTCATCAAAATGGATATCATCAATGCCAAGCTCTGACACCAGAGGGATGTTTGCTGCCTGAAAATGCCAAAGGGAAACTTCTGATTCAAAACTTGGGTCTTTTTTTCTGCATCACTCTTCCAAGAAACCATCCATCCATCAGTTCTGACCTGCCTACGTCCCCT